TCACGGTGCAAAGCAACGAGCCCCTTTTGCACATTAACATCTTCCCCACAACCTGCGGGCTCTATCAGTACCTGGAGAATTAAAATAAATAAACAAATAAAGTAATTTTTTCTTCCCATATTTTGGAACTGGAGGCACAGACGTTCATCCCAACTCCTGCTGTATCATTTCATGGCTTCTTCCCAAGATGCTAATTCAGATGGCATCTTTTTCCAAAAAGCATCTCTCCAGAGCACGATTAAATCAAACAAACTTGAAGAAAGGCACTGAACTGTTTCATTAAACTGGAACGAAGCCAATCAGGGACTATGGTGGAGACATGACTTTTACCAGGACTTTGCTGGTTGCAAGCATGGGTTTTATTTACTTGTATTTTCTCTCTCTCTGGGGAGAGAACAAAAACCCCATGGCTCTGATTTGAAGCATATTTGCAGTTTGACCAAGGAGGGGAAAAAAAAAAAAAAGGCGAAAAACAATCACAACTTCTTACCTATTCACCTAAGAAAGTGCTTGGCAAATTTACTGCCACCCAGACCGGACAGCTGGGAGCTGGACCACAGCAGGGAATGACAAAACCCCTTTGCTCCTTGCTGTTCTTCCACTCCCGAGGGTTGCAGATCAATTGGTGCTCCCTACCCCGAGGCCCAGCACTGCTCCAAGCTTCCCTCGGAGCAAAGGGCAACTCTGAAGACGGAATAAAAGAAATCGACCGCTGTACAAACCTGGAAGGCAGACCTCTTCTTAAAAATATCCCAATTTTAATTACACTGATGCTTTCTCAAGCTTTGCTTTGACCCTGAGCAGCCTGCGCTCTTAAAAATCGAAGTTAAATTTGTTTGTATTTAGTTATTCACTGGGCAGCTTTATTGGAAGATACCTTAATTAGAAGGAACTCTGTAAGAAGTTGCTGACTGACGAATTCTATCCCCAACCTGCAACTGTGCAGGTGAATTTTATCTTTGGTAAGCAGGCAGGTCACCTTTTAAAAATTGAGATTTCCATGAGCTTTCACCAGTTCGTAATTTTATTCCAACTGGGGGGCGGGGGGAGAAAGGCAAGCAAAACTGCAGAAAGTGGTTCTGAAAACTCCACTTTACTAGCAAGGCTGCCTATGTTGTGTTTGAATGCATTATGTCCCCATACAATGAAACTCCGGAATGCATCGCCAAAAAAATACAAGGAAAAAGTCTGTCACCATCCTGACTTCCCTCAAAACCTTCCCTCATGTGGGAACAACTGGAGCCATTTAAACAGGTTGCTCTCAGCACCTGCAGGCTGCTGACTGTGCTGTGAGTCAGCCTCTGAATGCACAAGCAGCAAAAAAAGGAAGGAAAGGCACAAGCAGATGTGAATATAGAAAAGAAGATCAGTAATTATTCAGTATCAAGAGTTACCTATGCAAGTATTAAGAAGGTTGGGGGCCTCATCGACCTGCAGAGGTCCTGGGGGCACTGTGCATGAGCTTTCTTCAAAAGGACGCGCAAGAGGTCCTGGAGAGGGACCCCTGACTGCCTAGAACGGGTGGCTTACGGTCACACTTGCACACCGTGGCTCACCTAAAGGTTTGCCGTGACAAAAAGAAGCACACAGCAAGGTGTTTCCCCGGGCCTGTGCACAAGGCAGAAGAACACAGAATTTCAGGAGTTACTGCCAGCGGACCCTCAGCCTCTCTCCTACAAGGGATCAGTCCCAGCGGAAGGTCCCGCACGGCACAAGGCGCCAGGCTGGGATGCTCCTGACCCGGGCCAGCTTCCCCTGCAGCCAGCGGCCGAAGAAGAGCTGCCTGAGGACACTCCTTGCCCAGCGCCGCCGCGCAGGAGGGCCGTGGATGGTGGCGGGACAAAGCGGGAATGCTGCTGCCACCAGGGCAGCCGCGCGGCCGCTTCCCCTCTCGGCTGCTCCCGCTGCTCCCAGCGTCCCTGCGGCCCGCACGGCACCGGCCCATCTGCTCTGCTCTGCTCCCAGCACAGCCGTTCGTCGGGCGAGGGGCACGGAAGAAGAAACACCCTGCAAAAGGAGCAGGCTGCAGGTAGGAGACATCACCGCTGCACGCGTGTGGTCCAGGTGGGCTGTTGAGCTGAAGAGCTTCGGACCAGCCTCTCTGTGTCACCACCTCCCGCGAGGCTCTGCACGGAGCACAACGCGTCGCCTGGTCTGCTCCCAGCCCGACGTTGGGGCTGTTGCCTTCAGCAGGTCAGCTCTCCCCCAAAACCTGTCACTTGCACACGCATCTGCATTACTTCACCATCTCCCCTCCACCCAGTATTCAGCTCTTGAGGGTTTTTTCCCTCTCCCTGAGCACACCCGTAACAGCAGGTGAGCCCCTGTAAGGGCCTGTAGCACCACGCCAACCTCAAAGCCACCCCGGATCACTTCCACCACACTTCTCCTCCTGCAAAGGGTCCATGGAAGGCGCCAGAGCGGCACCCACGAAGCCCACGGGTCCGTCCACGGCGCGGCACGCCTGCTGGCAGGGCTCTCCATCTGCAGCTCCACTGGTGTGTACAACAGGCGTCCT